ATTAAATAAAAATATAGAAAATTACATCATTTAATCCACTTTGTAATTGTAATTGTAATTGTAATTTTAATTGTAACATTGGTTTTATTTTCATATAAATAAAATCTAAACCCAGTCCTATAATGTATTAATTTTGTTATATCATATTATTTTTCCTGCGTTTTCATTATGAATCATTTTAAATTAAATGACTTTTTATATGGGTCTACATCTTGTACCCAATATTTATATAGCTTCATATTACTTGTAAGTAAATGCTAATGACTTCTTTGGAACTGACATAAAACTGTCATTTTCCTCAGTGTCCTTGCTCTCTGTGACAGTTATGAATATTGCAGGATGCCAAAATGACATCCTTGTAACTTCTCAAGTATGTAACGGTGCCTTTATGTGCAGTTACCGTTAGCAACAAAAGCGGCAGGAGAAGCCGTGGCAGCAGCAGGAAAAGGAGCCGAGGCAACATCCTTGCCTGTCCCATCCAGCCGTCATATAAAAATAATTGTTTGCCAGCGCATTCATTACCCATGACAGCTCTCTCTCCGTTTGCGATCCTTGCCGGAGATATTAAAAATGCAATTTCTGGCCGAAAAGTGCGTCACACACCGATCCAACTGCAATTTTATTTAAGGTTTCGCAAAATTAATAAGAAATAAGATATAATAAACATTAATGAAAATAAGAATCAAGGTGCAGCAGCATCATCAGATGGGAATGGAATGGAAATTGCTCATAAACAACTCCATCAAATAAAGTGCACACCCAGACGGGGCCCAAAAAAAAAAAAACAAAAAATAAGGACAATTTTTGGTTTTTTATTTTATTTTGACTTTTGGCGTAAAAACCGCAGCACAATATTAACAATGACGCATGGCTCACACACACACACACCCAGACAATCAGAGAGACACAACACAGGGAGGATGCAGGCAGGGCACAGAGCCAGACTATCAAATTTTAATACGCCATCCTGGCCGTGCCTTTATTTCATAAATTTTTAATGAAATTAAGCGGCAAAGCTTTTTGGGTTTTTCGGGTTGTCGGTGGCTGAGTGTGGCCATAGCATTTCGAAATAAATCATAACCGAGTGAAATACATAAGTAAACCAGACATACATATATACAAAAGCTGTTTGCATACCTTTTTTAAATGGTTTTAATTTTTTTTGTCAAGTTTTGGTCCTTGCTTTTTCGGTAACCACAACTAAAAGTGCACCCCGCTAAATTATAAATTAAGCGGTTTTATGCAGACTATATACATACGTATTGGCACAAAAACACTCGCTTTCAAGATTTTGCCTTTTGTTTTTAATGAGTGCGATTGCACTGGGAAAAAATACACACACAATATGTTAATGAATTTTAAAAAATTGTCAAAGAAAATAATATATAAATGGTGATGGTGGAACACCTTTCTGTGTACTTTTCCGTGTGCAACCACAAATGCAGAAAATTAAAGTTAAATGTAACCAAATAATATAAATATAAAAATAAGAATCTATAGAAACACGAAAAGAATGTCCCACCATTAAAACCTGAAGAATACAAAAATGAAAACAAAGCATAATAAAAGATCCCAAGAAAAATAAATATATAAAATAAAATACGAAAAACATATTCAGTTGTTAACGCTTCAAAATGAACAAAGGAAATAATATAAACTTCATTAAAGGCGGCGTATTTATACAGTTTTATATCAATTTGTGTGCCCGTATGCACCCAAAGAATTCCAAAAAAGAGTATGGTAATTTTGCTCAATACTAATGTTGATAACACTAATGTGATGTCTTGAAAGTTTTGGAAAAATGCATATTGAAAAGAAAAATATAAAGCTTTATATGTCAAGGGCAAATATCAGATACAAATAAATTAAATAGACACATAAAAGAGATCGTCACTCACTTTGTTATTTGTTGCTGAACGTTGAAATTGCGAAATCGCTTTTCCTCTACCTTGATAAACTTATCAATTTACAAACATTTTAACACAAATATTCACAAAAAAAAAAACAATGAAAAAAATATATTAAATTGTTAGCATAAAGTCGTTGCTATTACCCTGAACCTTAGAACCTTAAATTTTCCTACATCTTATACCCTTGCAGGGTATTATAACTTAAGTTATGAAGTAGTCATTACCGAGCCTATAAATCATATATATTCTTGATCAGCATCAACAGGCTATTCAATTTAGCGATTTTAGGCAGAAAAAAAATGTATAAAGTTTTACAAAATTTTACATTGTTCAAATTATCAGAAATTGATCAAAAATTTTACTTGTTAAAAAAGTCTAGATTTAATACCGTAGTAAAAACGAGCATAGGAAAGCCTTCCGAATTTAAAATAATGGTTTTTTTTGGCTTAATTAAGAGTTTAATTAACTTTTAATGTCGAAAGAATTGTCATATACAAATATGGATAAAATATCGCTCCAAAGAATCGCTAGCTCGTTCGACTGTTAACGCTGATCAAGAATATATGTATTTATATACTGTATAGGGTCGGTCCTTAACAGCGTTGCAAACTTCTAACTAAAATAATAATACCCTGCAAGGGTATAAAAATAAAAAGGGGGACAGTGGCAGATACAACCCCAGAAACTGGAGGACATGGCTCTGCTGTATGCGAAATCAAAAGTTGTTTATGACTCAATTTGTAGTTTTGAACATGAATTATTGCAGCTGTGTTGGGGGGCGAGCGGAACTGAACTAAACAAAAAAAAAAGAAAGCACTTCGAGTGGGGAGGAATAAAAAAAAATTAGAAAAAAAAAACAAAGTCAAGGCAAACACGAATATGTGCTTGAACACAAATTTTCGGATGAGGAAAAACTAATTTCACAAAGAGGAAATTAAATATGGCAAAGTTTGACATGTGACAGATTTCTCGTTGTTGCTGCAGCTGCTCTGGCCGCTCTATTTCGATTTTATATTCATTTGTGCATGCGAATAATTGAAACATTTCTGGTGGCAAACATGCAAATTTCCATTTCAATTTGCAGCCAAACAAGGACTCAACCAAGCTCAGCAGGACAATGCAGGTGAATGGCCAAAGTGGAATTATTTGAGCTGGTGTCATTCGATCCGAACCGTTTTCGAGGCCGGCTTGAAACTGAACTAAATCTTTTTCTGTATTTAATTTCCCCCCGAATCCCGAATTCTGAATTCTGAATCCTGAATCCCCATCCCCAATCCCAATCACATTTCATTTCGCATAGTTTGCTTTGTGTTTCGTCTGCCGGCCAATTTCGCATATTTTTACGACTTGAGCTTGGCACTTAATTTAGTCAATAACATGCAAATGATTTCGCCTGGAGTCTAATTGAAAGCGCAACTCAGCATTTGTCTGGGAAGTCTGCCAAGGCAGACTGCAACTTTTCCCTGTCTCAGTCTAAGCATTTCGTGTCCTGCCTTCTATCCGCCGGAATCCGCATTAAAACCTGCGGTGCGTCAAACTTATAATCAAGAGGGGATTTCCTCCTAGCGCCAAAGGAGGACTAAGAACTTCAAGACTGATGAGGTACGGCGTTTCTGCATTTCATCACCGCCGCTTGGCCATTGGAGAAGGGCAGTTCATGAGTCCGTGGAAATGCATGGAAATAAATAAAAGTCTAAGTTGCATCCTGGAGGTCATTTCCGGTACACATTGCTCTCAGTAACCTCGCGTAACTCCACAGAATATTACAGAATATATTACTTAAATAATTCAATACAATTATACCAATTTAAACCATTGCTATATAATTTGAATTACTTTATTGTGTATAGTCTTCTCTGAAATTTCTTCAAGTGCGCAAAGTGCCATCTGCAGTCGCAGCCAAGGATACACTCACATTCTTCATCATCAAGTGCTGCTCAGTTGCACGTCTGTGATATGACTCGGTTGGTTATTCGGTTGCGGTTACGGGGTCCCTCCGTCGACTTCTAGTGGCTTTTCCCTCCTTGTTTGTCTGGCAGTCTGTCTGTCAGCCTGGCTTTCTCCTGACGGCGGGCATGGGTTTCGGTTTCATTTCCAGCTCTCATGGCACTCTGTTGACACATTCCCCTGACAAATGGCCACATGTAAGTGTATAATTGGATAAGAACTTGGTGGTTTCCCAAGGCTGGTCTGCCTTCCCTATTTTTCCACATGATTTTCCGCAACTCTTTTGTGCAAACGCACTCGTCGGAGGCCGTTCAATCAAATTAGCGTGGAGTGTGCAATCATCGGGCGAGCAAACTAATGCTATGCCTGACCAAAATGCTTCATGGCTGACTACTTATCGCTTAATCACATCACGGGAGGCATGGCACGGCATCACGGTATCGGAGCATCTGCATAAAACATTTAGCAACATCAAATCGTTACCCGCCCATCCACACACATCAAAGCCAATCAAAATGGCATTTCAATAATATCAGAGTCATACAATCGCATCAGCAGGGGTTCTGCCGCGTGTGTGTGTGTTTGGGTGTGGGTGTGGGAAGAGGGCTTATGAGTCAGTGAACACAGGATGTGGGTGAGTGTGCGAATCACATCAATGATTCGTTCGTTCACTAATATTACAAGCATGGGCACGCAGCAGAGAAAAAGAGAAAGGGGCACACTCGCATCTGGAATGAGAGACGGCCACACTGCAGCTAGAGGGAGATGGAGCTTGCGGAAATTGTGCCAAAGGAGGCAACTTTCACTTTCCAGCAAAATGTGTCCTTGACGATGGGTGTGCGCGGGTGCGTCATAAAGATATTGACAGACCCATAAAGATAACCGTTGTGGATTGTGAATGGCATGTCAAGGAAGAAATTAGGCAATGTTCTTACTCTGACTCACTCCCCCTTACACTTTCTTTCAATACTTTCTTTCCTACTTTCTTCCCATCCCCAGGGAATTGACACTTGCCGAAAAGAGAAATGTATGGGAATTATGGTTATGGACAAACGCGCTTTTTAGGTCACGATTCTGAAAACCGAAAGACTTCCCGGAATATTGAGACCACCTGTGGGGAAAACATTAAAAACTCATTGATAATGCGTTTGAAGAATATAATCAAAAACTTAGAACTTGGATTAGCCGATGGATAGTACTTGTAGGCAAAGCAAAGTGAGGTCTTAAGGAAGATAAACACACCTCACTTCGAAAGACAGGAGCCTTCATGCTGAAAGATTTTAGAAGAGCACGACAAATTTGGTATACATAAATTTAGTAAAAGTTCTTCAGTTTGGTCCTTTCTTTGATCCTATGGTATTTCGGGGTCCATCCATAAGCCTATTCTTCCTCCTTCTTCGGTTCACATTTGCAGCATTTTTCTTCTCTTTTTTCTGAATACAAAATGCTTCAGTGCTAACGGGGTCCTTCAGCGGGAACTGCTTGTTGTACGTGGGTAAGGGTCCATATCCTGGCGTGTAGTTCTCCGGCGAGTGGGGCTGGCAGGGACCGCACTGGGTGCCGCCAGCGCGCTTGTTGCCAGATTGCCCAGGGCTGCCAGATTGCCCAGCGCCTGGAGGAGATCTTACCGTCTGCTCAGATCTAACTGACCTTGGACTTGGTCCAGAACTTGATCGTTGACCCGAACTACAAGTTGATCGGTGTCCTGCACAACACGATCGTTTAGGTGATCCACAACACGATCGTGGGCTTTTTGGACAGCCAGGAGGTCTTGGATCATCTGGTGGTCCGTAGCAGGGCACCGTATAGTTCTTTGGAGCAGGAATAGGTGAACATTGGCCACTAGATTCAGTATGACAATCGCAAAACTTCTCCGTCGGCGCCTGTTGTTGTTGTTGTTGTTGTTGTTGTTGTTGTGGTGCTGGCCTAACCATCTGGTTATTACTCCTCTGTGCTCCAAGGTTGGGCATGCCTTGACCTTGCCCCCTCTGACCGCACGAGCACGACTCTTCCCCCGAGAGCGTTGATGGGCGGCTTGGTCTGCGCAGCAGCCCCTCTGTAGGCCCATGGTAGACATACCCTTCAAATGGACATTGGAGCAGTCACAGCTGTCCCTCTGCCTGTTGCCCCCGGTTTGCATGGGGGGCTTGGGTGCGGCGTCCGGATAGCCGCCACCGCAGTGCGGGCAGATGAAGGTTGACGATTGATTATTTCCACTTTTCCATTTGCTCACTTGTAAGCCACAATTCGGTGCTCCTGTACACGGCGGACACCAAATATCATCGGCACCAATATTCTTTACAAAGCATGGACAATCATCGATAGGCATGTTCTGTTCCATCGGAGTACGGCCTTCGCCCGACCTACGACCTCTGCCACAACATGAACATGTGTCAGATCCTCTAGACTTTGACTTGGATCGGTTTCTTTTGCCATGTCCTGGTGAACCATGTCTTTCTCTGGAACCATGCCCTCCTGAACCATGTCCCCCTGAACCATGTCCTCCTGAACCATGTCCTCCTGAACCATGTCCTCTTGAACCATGTCCTCCTGAACCATGTCCTCCTGAACCATGTCCTCCACAACCACATACTCCTGAACCATGTCCTCCTGAACCATGTCCTCCTGAACCATATCCCCCTGAACCATATCCTCCTGAACTATATCCTCCTGAACCATATTCTCCAGAACTATGTCCTCCTGAACCATGTCCTCCTGAACCATATCCTCCTGAACCATATCCTCCTGAAGAGTACCCTTCTGGACTTCCAAAACATGAGCACTCCTCGTTAATTCTAGTCTGCTGCGGCGGAGATCTGGACAAGTTGTACTGGCTTCCTTGGGGATGAGCTCCTTTGCCTGCAACATCTGTGCACGAATTTGGATCGGCTAGTCTGTACTGTTGCGGCGGCGAACCGGCCTGTTTGGGCTGGTTCTGCTGTACTTTGCTATGCGTACTTGAAGAATATCCTCCTGGACTGTATGAATGGGAACACGCGCAATCATCGGAAGCTTTGTTTTGTGAATCTTGGACCTGTGTTGTTGAATCCGGCGATCCTGGCGCGCACGAACAACTAGTGGTAGCACTCGGTATTGGTGGCGAGGTATCTGTGGTCGACGGAGTAGTACCCCGCTCGCCGCATTCTATACCATCATCATCGGATTCATCGTTTTGGTTGCAGTCACAGCATTTTTGCTTCTTGGGCGGTTTCTTCGGACATTCGTCCTCGACTTCATCGGCCAAAGGAGCATAGTGACCAACTAGATTGGCCTGCTGCTCCTGACGCAGCTTCTCCTTGTCCACCTCGCAAGGGCATTCCCCTTTGTCACCCTTCTTCTTGTCAGCTGCCTGCTTGTGTTCCTTGTGTTCCTTGGGTTCCTTGTGTTCCTTGTGTTCCTTGTGTTCCTTGTGTTCCTTGGGTTCCTTGTGTTCTGACTTTTGGTGGCGTTCTTTCTTAGTTGACTCGCGTGACGCCTGTTCGTGCGCCTCCTTTTGCTCCTTAGCAGCTTTCTTATGAGATTCGGTCGATTTCTCCTGCTTGACAGTTCCCTTCTGCACTTCTTTTGGACATGGGCAAGTCGATCCGGAATCAGATGCCTTCTTTTGTTTCTCCTCGGTACGACCCTTCTGCACTTCCGTCGGGCATGAGCAAATCGGACCGGAACTCTTTTGCTTTGCCGCCTTGTCCTCCTTCGGATGCTTCTCCTCTTTTGGATGCTTCTCCTCCTTGGGATGCTTCTCCTCCTTAGGATGTTTCTCATGCTTTGACTGCTTCTCTTTCAGATGCTTCTCCTCTTTGGGGTGCTTCTCCTCTTTGGGATGCTTCTCCTCTTTGGAATGCTTCTCTTTTGGATGCTTCTCCTCCTTCGGTGGCTTCTCCTCCTTGGGTGTCTTCTGCTTATGTTTACTGGGAGAACGGGAACCTGATTTCGAACTTGACTTTCGTTTTTGATCATGGTAACATGGACAGTCGGGAAAATGATCAATTTTTTCTAGCTGCACCGGCACCATTTGAGTTCGGGTAATGTCACAGGAGCATTCAGGAATTTCCTGATGCTGGCATTTCTTTGGATATTTTGTAGCACCGCAACACGGAAATCTTCCTCCGCAACAGTTGCATTCATTAACGGGTTGCTTTTGTGTATGCACCGATTCCACTTGAGATTGGGAATCGTCGCAGGTGCAGTCACGATGCGGACCGTAATTTTCCGAACCCTGGGTAGCTGTGGATTTGCTGGCCATCGGGCCGCAAGTGCAGGACCTCCTATTATCCATACTCTTCGAACTGGAGGCCGGACGGAAGGCTGAACTCTGGGCCCCCATTACCGCTGTGGTCATGCTGAGCAGATCCCCACATAAACAGGACTTCTTCTTCTCCATGCTCTTGGCACTTGTGGTCGCACGAAAGGCTTTCTCATTTGTCTCCATACTCGCCTGGCTGGTGATAACGAACGACTCCTTCTTCTTGCCCGACTTGCACTGGCAAGCCTTATCGTCGTCGTCGGACATGTTGATCTCCCTTCCGTACTTGCACAGGAACTCGATGATCACTCCGTTGCTCCAGCCGTAACCCACAGCCGCTTGAGAAGGACAGACTCCTCCGGATGTCCCGAATTCCTCGCAGGAATACTGTGATGGGATTTAAAAGTAGGAACTAGTTTATTACCATGTTAGGCTATTGAAAGAAAGAAATTTCTATGACTGTGTGATTGAAAGTAAAATCACATACTGAATACGAATAGATTTGAAGTTTGTTTATAAAAAAAATATAGGAAGTTTTTCCCTACTAGGAAATCAAAAGAATACTATGACTCTTACCTTCTCGAACATAATGCCCTGCGTTCTGAAGGCATCATAATTAGACTTGACCCAGCGGTGAGCCCATCGCCTAGACATGGCCTTGGAGGCCCTAGTGCCCAGATTGTCCAGCCCCTCCACGACCATGAACATCATGGGCGGAAACACATTGGGATAATCCCACTTCTCACCCGCCTTTTTGTTCAATGTGTGCGGAATTCCGCCAAATAGATCGTCCAGCTTATAGCACTTGATGTGGTCCATCACACCCTTGGACACCTTGTCGGTGTCGATCAAGGGGAAGGCCCGGGCCCATAGGGGGGCAAAATTGGTGCAGCAGAAGAAATTGCGAGACTGTTTGTTCTCCACATCGTAGTCCAGCCAAATGCCGGCCTGGCTATTCCACAGGACATCGCGAATTGCCTTCACTAGGACACAGGATCGATCCTGATACTCTTCGGCCTTCTTGGCATTGCCCGCCTTGCGATTAAACTCGGCCAGTATCTTGCCACTTCGAAAAATGATGGCATTAAGCTCAACGGGCACAATAGCCGAGGGCTTGGTATCGGTGAGAAGGGCTTCATTGCTGCCACATTTGGCCACAAACCAACGGGAGCTAAAGTCCTGTCCCGATTCACAGGCCGACTTTAATTCGGTGTAATACTCCTCACGAACCGACTCATCATCTATTTTCTCTGCCATCTCCAAATCCTCATTATAGGCCTCGGGCCGTGGTCCAGGAGAATTGGATACAGACCGGTATTGATACATTGTCCTGCCCTTCACCTCAATTGAACGTTGGCTCACGAAGTTCTCGAACTCGGTTTCCAGCAGCGGCAGTGCTTGGATGGCAAACTGCTCATCCTTGGTCACCTCCACATAGGCCTTCATCATCATTATCAGAAGCGGCGGCTGTGTCCGATCGGCACAGTAAATTCTGCCACAGGCTGGCACACAACCATATTGCTGAACCAGCACCAAAAAGTTCTCAATCATACCGCGGGCCGTTTGGTGCATGCCACACTGAAGGAGACCTCTTATGATCCAGAAGGACCCCCAATAGCTATATTCACGGCATCCCGTATCGGGAATAATAAAGGGTTTGGGTACGTAGAGAATAGAATAGAGATCCGGATTCCTTTGGACATCGTCTTTAATGCGTCGCCCCAGCTGCTTCCAGAGTTCGTTGATTTCGGCAGCGTATTGCTTCATTTCCGGATCGCAGATCCTGCCGAGAAACGATGGATGGGGCTTCCAGTCCGTAGGGGTCCATCGTTCCAGCTCCGAACCGGGCGGATTAAAGTGTTTCTGGGATAGGGATTAAATAATACAGGACAAATCAGATTCATTAAGCTCTGGATAGCTTGCAAGCCATTGAAAGTTATAAGCTAAACCAGAAAAAATGTAGTAAAAAGTTAAAGGAAATCCCCTAAGACACTGGTTAGTATAAGCTGAATTGTGGAGGAAAACAGTATCGCTCTAGTTAACAACTACATTGATATCTATTATATACTCTAGAAAATATAAGAAAAATCTATAAAATGTTACCTCAACAAACATCTGCAGGAACTCCAGGGAGCCATCGTTTCTGGAACAATTACTGAACAACTCATAATCGGCCATAGTCTGGGCGGGTGAATAGATACAGCTCATGTCCACGAAATATTTACTGTCGGGAAACATGTTCGATCGCTGAACACGATCCAGCAAAGGACCCGAGCAAAAGACGCTCCTGCGGGGTAATTTCAGTGAGTGATAATGGAAGTAGTAGAAATGAGTCGCAGTACTCACCTGTTATCCACGTCGGGCGATGGTAACGGTGGACTGCAGCCGCATTTGAAGGCCATTTTTTAAAACGATTTTGAATCCGGGTCTATATTTTCTACTTTTAGTGGAAAGGCCAAACTGATGAACTAAATGAGTGATTCCTAGGCCAAGTTTGGAATCATATTCGAGCACCAAATCGCAGGCAACTGAGTTTCAACAGAGACATACATAAATCAAAATCCAAACGGCAACCTCTGTTATATTGACCATTAAAGCAAATTTGTCGACATTTGCCATTAAGAGTCAACAATGCTTGGCCATAAATCAGCGCAAATAGACAGGAAGCGCCTGCGAATCTTCTCCGGACTCCTTCTTCCAGTTCCACACATTTATTTTAAATTACCATAAATGCCCCTGACCGAGAAAAACGAAACCAAAACCGAAACAAGAGCAACGCCGCGGCGGGGCAGAGTGAACTTTTGCCTAAAAGCTATTGGCCTCTGTGTCCATTTGTAATTTCCAGACAATTTATCAAACCAAAAAGTAAAACGAAGACAAGGGGGCGGCGGCTGGCCAAAAGGAAAAGAGCTGTGGAGAAGGCCAGAAGTCGGAATGGAAATGGCGCAGAAAATGCGCTTCAAGTGGCCATGGCCATGGCCATGACCATTACATTACATTGGAGCGGAGCAGAGTGGAGCGGGATTTGGAACAGGATTCAAGTAAAGTAAAAATTCTTCGATTCCTGGACAATCAATTGAGAGGAAAGTAGGGGGAGGCAATCAGCCGCGGGCGCGGCACTTCATAAATTCCATTTCGCCTTGGCTCCACTTCAATGCAAGTTTTTTAGCATCGACATCGACATCGGCCTCTTTATGGAAACTTCTCTAAAAGTTGAAAGAGAAATCGAGGAAGCACGGAAATTAGTCATGTCGCATTCACATTCTCTGTCGTCTGCAAAGTTTCAATTGAATTTTCGTCCGGCATTACGGAAAATGCAGAGACTTAAACTTGCAGCCACGTTTCGGAAAGAGATCCGCCAAATAATTAATTTTGCATATGTGAAAATGCAGCCAAAGGATGCGAAAGGGAGTCCCGACACTTGTCCTGACACTTGACCCGCGGGCAATGTGATCAACTTAACGAGCTCCCAGCAACTGGCGAGGAATGCCGGAGAATGTACACAGCGGAAAATAGGATGGAACAAAAAAGGAAGCTAACTTTGGCTTATTCGATCACTAGCAATCAGAGCTCGCAAATAACTGTCGACCGTTTCTCGTTGTCTGCAAATAAGTGTCTTTTCCTGACACTTTACGAAAAAACTCAGAGAGCAACCGAAATAAGAGTGCTTAAATCAGCTCGCTCGCGCTCAGAGCGAAACCGATTTTTTTAATTCTGCAATGCTCATTGAAAGAGCGACACACAAAGAGCTCAACGAAAAACGTTCAACAGAAAACATAAAAGAATACAGCAAGAGTCTCTTGCTCAGAGCGAGAGCGAGAGAGTATGAACTTTTTCGGTTGTGCTCGCAACGAGAGCGCAAGAAAAAAATCGGTCGACAGTTATTTGCGACCTCTGCTAGCAATTAATACAATGTAACTTACATATACATATTTTTGTTAAAAAACAATAAAGTAATGCCTGCTTTCATTCCTTCACCGTTTTGCATTTTCCTAAATTTTTAACGATCGTTTGTATGCCAGCTATATGATATAGTAGTCCGATTTTCAAAAAATTTTACACAAACATTTTTTTTTTAATTTCTGATCGTTCCTATAGCAGCTATATGTACATACGTATATACTATATAGTCCACCGATTCGCAATGTTCCGACTTATATATTAATAAAATTATACAAAATTATACTCCATAGTTTCATTCAAATAGCTTAAATATGTTCCTAAACAAATCTCGGACATCTGAGCATATGATTCCCAACTGGTTCTAACATCCCCGGAACGAAGTGACTGCTGCTGGCCAAGTCTTAGAAATGTGTTGTGTTACAAAAGTTGCAAGTCATTGTTTATTAGTGTTCAAAGTTAGAAACTGATCATACATACTTACAAGTTATAGATACTTACTAATCATAGTTACTTACTAGTCATAGATACTTACTGTTTAGAGTTACTTAATGTTTATTGATACTTACTGATTACTGATTACTGATCGTAGCTAATTAATGATCATAGTTAATTACTGTTTATAGATACTTACTGACTGACTTACTCTTCAAGGATAATTTTAACAGTGAAACATCAGAATAAAGACGTCGAGGGAAATTAAGTTGAGGATCAGAAGTTTCAGTGATGTACGATAAGTAAAATGGAAAAGTTAAGGCGAGGTAAGACCCAATAAGTTTTGGAAAGCAACGAGTAAAGCTGGAAGTTTCTTTTCTCATTTCAAGTGTAATCATTAATACAAAATAAATGCATACCTATATGTACACTTTTCCAGTGCATTCTCGCACCACAGCTCACAGCAGGCTCATCACCGTCACTCGATGTTCCAGCTAATTGAGTATTCTGCTCTTAAGTGGACACAGTCGCCTCCGGCGCCTTTCTGCCTCATTTGCAGGCCCGCACATAAATCAATAAGTTGCATTTCGGCCTTAAATTAATTAAAAAGAAAATTCGCAAAAGAGTAGAGGTTCTTTTGCTTTTTTTTCGTTTTATTTCCAACATGTAGTCTTTATGGCGATGATGTCTGTGCTTAAACACTCCGCCAGCTGACAGCAATCAATCAAAAATTGCACTTGCCTTAGCGGGACGGCGACGGCGGGCGGTGACGGATGTATCACGTCGCACCACCCAGGGAATCCACCCAAAAGCCACCCACTTCCAGCTGGGCCGGGAGCATGATAAATTGTCAACGCGCTGACGTTTGTCTGCAGCGATTTAAAAACTACTTAAAATGTAAATGTTGTTTCCCTGTTGCTGCTGCTGCTGCTGCTAGTACTGCTGCTGTGTTTGGGTTTTATGCACACGTCGCGCAGCGTAGACGGCGAAAATCATGTTGTTGACTTTGAAAAAATATGTGTAAAAATGCGCTATTGTAAATAACAGAACATAAACCCCCGTGGGAGAGGAGACCAGGACACCGACTTCCTAGTTGACTGACTGTCTGAGGGAGAGTGATGACACGGCAATGTCAACACGGGTAACTTTGGCAGCAGAACAGCTTCAGCAACAATGTGTGGCATGAAGATGCCACGCCTCTGTGATTGCATTTTTACACTTGTCAGTGGATTTTGAACCTCTGGCCATCACCTCTGTTTGTTTCCGCACTTTGTCGTCTAGTGTCTGAAGCTGGAACTCCCTGAAGTTGCGACTCCATACCGCAGCCACATCCTGCTGTCGCTCGGGTGTTTTCCTTCCACACTCCAAATGAGTTATAAATTCAGCTGTCAAAGGACTTGACAATTGATTAATTGAAATCGACTTGGAAAGTAAGTTGATAAGCACACACGCACCGAGGAAGGAAGAGGCTGTCAATCACTCCACCCCGGGGCCATGGATCATTCCTTGATGAGCCAACTTTGACCGGGTCAGATCAAACAAAAAGGGGCTAAATACTAGAGGGCAAGCCGCAGACGCTCAAATTAACCAAGAGTCTAGTTAAACAGAAAACTTCTGGACCTACCCGCCCCCGTTGATAGACATCTTTGCCTGCCTGCCTGCCTTTCTGGCCCCCAAAGTTGACAACTTAAATTGTTAGTTGCCCGATAAGCCGGCAAGCCTGCAAAACCTACCAACTGTCAGAGTGGATGAGAGTGGGCGTATATATAACATTAACATAAGGAGGGTGGAACACGCGCCACATGCCAACGACAAACAAATAAATAAAATTCCTCTTTCAGTCTGTAGATACCACCCCTGCTTGTTTTTTGTCCGTCGAGGGGTCAACGTAGAAGTGTGTGTGTTTTACAAGTCTATTAACTTGTGGCGCTTATCTAATGCTGACAGCAAGTTTTTCACTTTCCCGAAGTTTTCGGGCCTCCCCCCAACCTCTGTCTCCCGCCGGAAAACGCCGCTTCCTGAGGGGAGGAAGAATTCTCCTTAAGCGAGGAGCCGGAGTGTTAAGGGGGAACCGTCCCGATGTCAATCATTTGTTGATCATTTTTCTTTCCAGCCCCATGCATAATGTATCGCCTAAATTTGTAGCTGACCACAAGGGTCGTTCTCAAGGATACATTTTCAATGACACTGAAAGAAATAATATCACAAACTGCAGAGTGCTTCACTTGATAATAGTTGAAATAAGAAATAAAATAATAAATAAGTAAATACTATAAATAATTTCTTTTCTTCTCAGTGCTAAAAAGGAAAAGTGCCAGACTGTCGGAGCAAAAGTTTTCCTTGGGAAAACTCTTGATTTCCTTGGCAGCTAGGGTCTGGGAATTGGTCAAGCTAGTTGCTGCTTCATTAAATGCGACGCCAAAAAAGTTGCATCCGTGCAGCTGCTGGAAATATTTATGAACTGTCCAAATGCCGTGTCTCTCTCCCTTTATATATATTTAGGTATATATATATTCGAGTCTGCTATTTGCCAAGTCATACTGTCACACACCCCACCTGGCCATCTGGCCACCTTCTTTCAATAAACGTTAAGCATTACGGTTATTAGTTTCTGGAAGGGCACATAAAAACTTCAACTCGAGTCGGGACTCATAGTCAGTGGCTTAGACAAGGGGACGTAGGAAAATAGAAGACTTTGGAGTACTTCTTTTATAAATCAATTCCATGCTAATTCGATATGTTATATGGGTGTTTTTAATAGTTATATAAAATGGTGAAAGGTGGCTTGTATATCTTTTAAGAGTCTGCAGCACCTTCTATACTTGCTATTTCCGCAATCTTGCAAAAGTAATTTATATATTTTAGTGACAAAAAGTATAGAACTCTTCTAAATCAAAAAACCCCTGTAAAAATCCTCCTGCACGTCCCTGCTTGCGACACTGTTGCCAACATTATGTTGGCACATTTCTGATGCTATCTACGGCTGTTGCCGCTTCCTGCTTGCTGCTCGCTGTTGCCACTCTGTAGCAGCAACATGTTGCTGATGCTGATAATGCTGTCGTTGACTAGTTGACTATGTTGCCATTCCCGGAATACTTGAAACGATGGAGTACTGTGAAAATTACAACGGCCGTGATAATTCCAAGTGCATTACATGCAAAGTCCTTGCGGCAGTGATAGTG